ATGCTTCGAGAGGTCTTTTGGTTAGCGTCAAGAAGAGGCGGTGGTATTCGCAGTAGTAAGTCAGTTCTACTAGGGTCCCTCATTAATCTTTTGCAGCGTTTTGTTCTTTCGTTTCCGTTTTGTTAGAGCAACATGCGATCAAGAAAGTACAACGTGTTATCAAGGCAAAGTGGGTCTTCGACTTAAAGCTGCACTGACCTCGAGCGAGGGTCGATCAGTGTCCTCCTCGACCGGAACAGACGTCCTCGTGGTTTGCGGCTCCGTGTCTTCCGGCCGTTTGGTCACCGCCTCCTTTTCCTCGGAATGCTTAGAATGCTTCTTTTCCTCGTCAGGAAGATTGTCGCCCGCATGAAGATTACTTGAAAAATGAAACGTACTGTACGTGTAGAGTACTTGAGGATCTTTTTTAGCAAAATCGGAATCCACACTTGTTTCTTCGGCTACTGAGTCTCCTTCCTTGGATTTAAGTTTGACGCTCTTCAATACAACTTCCGTTCTTCCTCGTGCCTCTTCTTCATCGGAAAGATTTTCGTTCACGTGAAGGTTACTTGAAAAACTGCCTTGAAGATCGGTAGAATCAGAATTTACACTCGTCTCATCGATTGTTGAGTTCCTTTCTTCGGATTTAGGTTTGACGCTTTTCAATATAACTCTCATTCGTCTTTTGGTTTCGACGGGAAGATTTTTACCTCTGCGAGAATTATTTAGAAAAGTACCTTGAAGATTGTTATTAGTAGAATCAGGATCTACACTCGTTTCTTCGACTGTTGAATTCCCTTTCTCAGACTTAAGCTTGACGCTCTTCAATACAACTCTCGTTCTTCTTCTGGTTCCAGAAGAAGATTCGACGGGAAGATTCTTATTCGAAAGAGTACCATGAAGATTTTCATCGGTAGAATCCGAATCTACAGTCGTTTCTTCAGCTGTCGAATTTTTTCCCTCGGACTTAGGTTTGACGCTCTTTAATACAACTCTCATTCTTCTTCTGGTCTTGTATTCAACGGGAAAATTCTTAGCGCTGTAAAAATTATTTGAAAAAGTGCCTTGAAGACTTTCATTAGCAGAATCATATTCTGTACTGGTTTCTTCCGTCTTTGTCTCCTCTTCCTCGGATTTAGACTTAATTCTTTTCAATACAACTCTCATTCTTCTTCTTGTTTTTTCCTCATTAGAAAAATTCTGACTTAAGTTAACGTCATTTGAAAGATTATTTTGAAGACTTTTATCGGTAGAATCAGATTCCACATTTGTTTCGTCAATTGTGGAATCTTTTTCCTCAGATTTAGGCCTGACGCTCTTTAATACAACTCTCATTCTTCTTCCTGTAATCCTTTTATTGGGAAGATTCTTTTCTGCGTAAGGACTTTTTGGAAAATTGCCTTGTAGATTTGTATTGATAGAATCAGAATCTGCATTTGCTTTATCGCTTGAATTTTTTTCTTCGGATTGAGATCTAACATCTTTCATTATTTTTCTCGATTTATCTACTTCAGAAAGATCTTCGGCCACATGAAGATTACTTTGAGAATTATCTGGAGAGCTGTCATTAACAGAACTAGAATTGGTACTGGTTTCTTTCGTCAAGCTTTCTTGTTTTATCTTTTTCAGTGTAATATTTTGTTTTTCTTCACTATTTTCATTCTCATAATAAACATGAAGCATTTCATTCTCAATAGCAGTAGATTCTTTTATGGGTAGAATGGTAGTCGTTTTTTCCTCGACTTTTTCCTTAATTCTTTTCAATACAACTTTCATTCTTCTTACATTTTGCACTTGGTCATACGCAACGGTATCTTCAGTAGTATTCTGAACATCAACAATATCCTGATCAGGTCTATTGACAGTGCTATTGAACGCTTCAGAATTAACTCTGATTTTCTTTTGCATGATTCTTCTTCTATGATTATTCTCGATCATGTTCGAAGAAGAAATATAAGTAGGAGGTCTTCGTGGTCGTCCGCGATACGCAACTCGATGTCGAGAATATTGATTAGTCCTGTGCAATGTTACAGGACTTCCAAGCCAATTGTTCGTTCGATTTAGGACGCGACGTCTGGCCGTTTTCTGACTGGATTGATAATTAGTTGTGTCGAGTTCCGAAGTCGTTTGATTTTGTTTTCGATTTTCTATAGCTTTTAAAGTAGTTTCCTCAGATACTATCTTCATTTTTGCAGTTGTGGACTCCTCACTCGTTGCTTGTACAGAATCTGCGTTATAAGCATTCGTAGTTGTTCGAACTGTGGGATTTGTCGTAATCGTCGCAGAAGTTGTAGATCTTTTTAAAGCCACGGTCTCTTTGTCAGCAATTGATGTTGCGACCGAAAGGAGGGTTGAAGGAGTTTGAGTGACCTTTGGTGTAAAGAAACTTTTGTCCCCTTGGGTTGACGACAATGCAGCTGTTACAATTGACGATGGTTCGAAATTCGTACTATAAAGAGACTTTGGAAATGTGGTCGCTGTCGAGGTAAATATTTCAAATGTCGTGGGAATTTCAGTAGTTTGAGTAGACTCTGCAGTTGCGGTGACGGCTAATACCTCGGAATTGCTGCTAATATCAAGATTATTTGGATTTGTGAGATGTATCGTAGAAGATTCGGTTGTTAAAGTTGTGGGAACAGCCGAATTCGTCGAAGTTATGACTGTGCTCGTGATGGGAGCTTTGGACGAAGTCACAGAACTAGACTGAATCATGGTTGGCGAGGTCTCGCTAATTGCAAAAGTAGAAGGAATATTCGCATTTGCGAACGTCGTAGTTACGTTAAGGTCGGTAATCGTTGGAATTATTACACTAAGAGGTGTAGTCGTAATTATGTCTGCAGTTACGGTATTTGCATCTGCGGGATTACTCGTTGTCATAGGTGCAGTAGCATGTATATGTTGCGTGTTCACAGTTGAAGAAATAACCGTTGTTAATGGCGAAGCAGTTGTAGCAACGGGAATTGTAGTAACAGGAATTGTCGTAGTATTCTTAATTGCTGTAGTAGTAAATGTGGAATAATTTCCAATCGTGGAAGTTGTTTCAATTTCAGTATTCGCATCTGTGATCGAGATTGCATCAGTCATAACATCGTGCATATCTATAGTTGTTGGAATTGTGACTGCGGAATAATTTGCAATTGTGGAAATAACACCAATATCAGCGTTTATAATTTGCGTAGTCGCAGACTCAGTTGCAATTTCCTGCGCATCAGCAATATCTGGTATCATGAATGTAGAATAATCTGTCATCATGGATGTAGTTTCGATTCCGGTATTTGCTGTAGATTCGGTTACAGGATCATTTGCGACTGTTTGCGCAGTCTCTGGAACTACATTTACATTTGTAGAAGTAATCTCAGTTTCAGTGCTTGCTGCAAGCGCAGTCGTAACTGCTGAATCAGTCAGAATTGCGTTTGTATTCTCGATTGTTGGATTATCAGTTATGGAGTAATTCAGAGAAGTAGTTTCAACTCCAATACTTGTAGTCGCGATTGTAGCGTGAGTTGTAACTGCTGGCCCTTTTGCAACCGCGACCGTCGACGGTGCGGTCGTAATAGACACGTTTGCGACTGCAGAAACCGTCATGGCTGTAGGATCATCTGAGAATATTGAAATGTCAGCAGTGGGATCATTTATTGTCGAAATGATTTTTGAGATTGAAGGTGTCGCCGTGATTATCGAGTTCGTCAAAGTCATCGCTGCTTCTACAGTTGCGTGGCTTTCTGGATCTTCGGTTTTTGTGTTGTTAGAATTTTCAAGATTATTGTGAACGTTTGAAACCTCAGGAGATGCCGTGGAATCAGGCACGATTGAAGGAATCGGCGAAGTCGTGGGAAGTTTACGCCTCCTTGAAATCAAAGTCGAAGCGGACTTAGTTAGAGAAGCGTTTCTTACGGTGCTCGTTGCGACACGAATAGAATCGCTCTCAGTTTGTCTTATGGCATCCTTGATCGGCGAGACAGTGGTTCTGTTTCTTTTCTTTGCCACTATACGTCTGCCTGTCCACAACGGACTAGTGGCTTCATTGTATCTGCTCACAGCGAGGACGATTCTTCGTCTTGTCGGCGTTGTCGAGGATGCGACATAAGAGTTGGAAAGAGGCGTTGTACGATCGAAGTTACGCGATTTTCCTCTTTTGGATGCTGGTCTGTCGATAGGAGTTGTAATTAAGTCAGACTTTTCGTGATTCGAAAGATTTTCAGCATAAGAATCTTTTGAGAAGATCTCTGAAGAACTGGGCGTGGAATACTTCTCTTCGCGACTGTCGCCTTTGTCATTAACGATATCACTTACGTTGTAATCGAGAGCATTAGGTCCCGATTTGATCCGATCATTATAAGCGACAGTGACAGTCTCATCGGTCGTAGAAATATCAGAAATTAAAGTAGTTTCCGGCTGTTGTTCGCCGGGAGTGTCGGTCGTCATGTAAGATGGCGTAGAACTATCCGCCAATATCGACGATGGTAAATTATTATCGCTTCTGGTGATATAAAACCCATGTATTACCGGGCTTCGAATCAGACTGGCAAGTGGAATGCCGCGCATTGTCGTCGGCTTCAAATAGATCGAGGTCGTAAACGTCTTTCGATTATTTTCGTCCCCCTGAATAGTGTTTGTGACTGAAAGTCGCTCATCAAAGTTTGCAATGTCTTCCATTCTTGGAGCGCGAGATCTTGCTTTGTTCTCTGAGGCTTGCTGCAGCCACGAATCGCCGGTTTCTTCGAACACGCCTCCCGATAACTGGGCGATCTTTTTATCGCCGTCTTGCGACTCGTCTGCTCCTCTCAACGACTCTTCGACGTTCTGCCGGCTAATGTCGTTGTCCACGTCGTTACGCAGCAAGTGCAAGAGTACGGACGACGACGTCGTGGTGGTACGATCGTCATAGTAAGTCGTAGGATAGCCGATCAGTTCCTTTAGGGTCGGCAGCCTGATAGTTTCCGAATCGGCGACCTGAAAATCAGAACAATGCACCGCGCTTTAATGCGGAGATCCCCAGGGATCTCTCTCTTTCTCCTTTCCCTTTCCCTCCATAGTGTGTTTCTTTGCAGTCTCCTTCTTTCTGTCTTTCTGTCTGTGCGTGAGCTGCGCCAGTCTTGGAAGAGAAAAGAGGGAACGTGAAGAGGGGGAATTCTCTAGTTATCTATTGAAGCGCCGCGAACGTGTCTTGCTTGCTGCGTTAATTTGGATAATAAGGAGTCATCCTGGGTCATCGATAGCGTTTAATGATGATTGTATTTGTGATTGATATAAGTAGAAGTACATCATCAAGAGAGTTATCAGAGGTTTCAGTCAAGAGTTCCTCTGAGTAAGTGGGAGAAGAAGGTTCGTTATGATACGTCATTATTGATGATGTGAGGATGATGCGTGAAGACGATTATTCGGTCGTCGGTCGTCGTGAGCTATAGCGAGTCCTTGTCGTTCCTTTTGATTCATGTAGTCGCATTTGTTTAATGTCTCACCTCATTAGAGCAATCTTAAATATAATTAAGCTCGTTATAATTACTATATTTACATTAGTGACGTTCAGACGTCTACTAACTCTTTAACAATCTCTCCGACAAATCGGCGATCGGAATTGGCTTCTTAATTAATTAATGGCTGAGTCTATGTACATTATCGACGTTGACCACGTCGATGATTAATAACGACATTTGTATACTACTACTTCGCGGAGCTCTTGCCGGCGATCAGGTTGCTGAACACCGACTCGATCTCGATGGTCGAGGACTCGTGAGATTCCGTAGTGAATCGACCATCGTAACGATAATTAAACTCGCTCTCGATCGGCAGAGTGGACCGCTCGACACCCTGACGAATTTCGTTGGCGGACTCGTCGTCGTCGGCTCCAGTCACTGAAACTGACAACGGGGTCGTTGGGGGAAACTGATCCGCTGGTATCCTCGTGGTCGACGTCAGCGACGAGTACTTGGTCTTGATGAGGATCTTCTGCCGCTCCGTAGTGCCGGACTCGGTTACCGAGGTCACCAACCTGGTGACGGACGGCTTCACCGTCGTGGCACGTATGTAAAATGGATCAATCAGGTTCTGCGAGTCAAGAGAATCACTGCTTCTCGGCGTCGTTGTTCTCAGCGACTGCTGCTTCCGATAAAAGGCATCCGCGACGTAATCGAATTTCTTCGCCGGTATCAGGGTCTCCGTGACCGTCGCTTCCGTGCTGGTCGACGACGAACGTCTTGGGTACGAGCGCGTTCTGAAATATTGCCAGGTGCTCGTGGATTCCGGACTCGGCAACGTAGTTTCTTCGTCGATTTTGACGTTTTCCCGGTCTAGAAGTTTGTAACGCGTTCGCGGCTGCCGGAGGCCGGATTGCCTGCGCCTCGCCTCCCTCGTTTCCGGTGTCTCTTCAGATTCTTCGGGCGCGGAGTCTAACGGAGGATATCGCCTGGGCGACAAAGCCTCCTCAGGGTCGAATGGCCTTTTCAAAATTATGGGAACCTTGTATCGCGACCGAACCTCGGGTCCGCGAGTGGCAATCGATGTCAATTGATACGTATTATCTTCTGCGTGCTCCGTTCTCGCGACTTTGTGATCTTCAACATCCTCGACACGGACTGAAGGGTAGTTCGTTTGGCCTCTTAACGAATTTGTAGTATAATATTTCCAGAATTCTGCGAAGTCATCTGAAAAACCATTCGTCGAAATCGACTTGCTCTTCAAGGTCGTATCTTCTGCAACGTCCTGTCTAGCCAAGTCGCGGGATCCGCTATCTATATCCTCTTCTTTCTCTTCCTGATACTTCAGATCATCGCGAAGTGTGTTGGCGGTGGTAGAAGAAACCGGATGACGTCGATTGAACAAGTTGTTCCTGCGTCTTGAGAGAACCTCGAGGCTGCTGTTTTCTGTCGACGATAACGCAGGATATCGATTGGTCGCGTTCCCCGAAGACGATGCAGGACTCTTGCGAATAAACTTCTTACGCGCGTATCTCGACTCGAAGCTCGATTTTGCGGCCGATAACGGATCTGATTCGAGAATCCGAATCGTGAACGGCGTGGTAGTCGCTTGTGCGCGAGTAGTGGCTGAATCTGACGTGGGCGATGTGGTGATTATTTGCACGCGAGTAGTGGGCAGGTTTTCGGTAAACGGTAACAACGTATCTTCCAGAAACGTATTGCTTTCAGTGTTGTAAACCGTGGCTGTCGCCAGCGTTGATTCCATCGTAGTAGTTTCAGCACCTATTTCAATCGTCGACTGACGAACTTCGTCGGCGTCCGTGTTAATCGTCGATATAGTGGCGGTGCTGAGAACATCTGTAGTTTCCTCGCCTGATATCGTCGTGGTTTCAGTCGCGGGAGTCTCCAAAGTAACCTTCGTGAAACCATCAGCGTTGTTATCGGTGGACAAGGTGGTTTCCGTGATAGTTGGAGTCGAATCTTCCATTTCTCTCGTAAATCCGGTTAAACCAGTAGCGATCGTCGATTCTTCGGCATTTTTGCTCAGAATAACTGTAGCAGCTGTCGATTTGTCAACACTTTTATCGCTTCCCATCGGAGTTGTCGTTTCTAGAAGAAACTTCGAAACCTTTTCTTCTTCGAGGGAAACTTCAAGCGATGTCGATGAAGTGTCTTGAGACGGGCGTTTACGTTTTATCACTTTTCGTCTGTGAGACACCTGAGGTCTTTCCTCTTCTTCTGTTTCAATAATGTTGGCAGCTGTGCTCGATGATATCGGTCTCCTTCGTAGCAGAACCTTTCGTTTTCTTGGCGCTATCGATGTCTTTTCCGCATCAACGGTACGTCCGGTAGAAACGATTGTCACCAAATCGGGATTAAATTCGTGAGCTTCGATGTGAGCAGTCGTCGTGGCTACAGCATCCTCAGGTCGGTCACTCGTATAATCCACTTTGTTACTAGATACAGTCGTCACGCCAATTTGTACGATCGGTTTCACAGTGTAGATCGGTTGGATGGTGTTCGATTCGATGACGGAATCAACCGTAGCGGTTGATTGATCGACGCTGTTCAGCAAATCGTTTCCCTCGATCTTATCGGTGTGTTCCTGGTTCGATTCGTCATTCACTTTTTGCGCCGGCTCTTCCACGTTGTTCCTCTTCCTCGTATACTTCGTCCTGTCGTATAACTCGCGATTAACAGTTGGCTTCCTGAAGACCCTGATGTTCGTTATCTTATCGTTCTCCTCGTCACTGCTGTGATCGGATCGCGATCGAAACAACGAGTTTCTCCTAGAACTGCCTTGCGTTATTCTGACTATCGAACTTTCGTCCAATTCGTTGGGTTTGGTGGATTCTACTGTGCTGTTGACTCTGTTAGGTCTCCGATATCTTCTCCTGAGGTCATCGCTGGTGGCTGTGCTGACGGTCGTCGAACCTGTTGTCCTGCCTCTTTCTCTAGTCCTGGAACCGGGAACGGAATTCGTGGAAACGTCCTGCGTTCTTGATCTCGACGACGGGATGTACCTGCTGGATCCCCTACTGCGCGATCTGCTAAGTTCCCTGCTCCTGGACGTAGAAGCCTCCGCGCGTGGAGCGTTTACTTGATCCACCGACTCCTCCTCGGTAACTCGGTTGGTCGGTCTCGTCCTTGATCGAACTCGCCCCTGAACCGGGCTGGATGGACGCGTAGGATTTCGCGACGAAATACTCACCTTGGACCTGCTTAACGGGGTCGTCGCCGTCGCTGTCGTCGTCGCTTCCGATGAACCAGATCTTCGTCTGGTGAAACCGAACGGTCGCGGTTGTGACACCACGGCGATCGTCGGTCTACTCGCCAACGTCGTCGTTGTCGTCGTTGTCGATTGGCTTGAACTGCTGCTAGCTGCTGGCAACGTTGTGAACAGGATCTCCGTTGCCGAATCTTCCACCAGTTTCACCGAGTCAGTGGTGGAGCCGATGTTTGCTTTAGGACTGACGCTTGATGAGTTTTCCGGCGGCTCGACGCTGATCACGGTGATGATCTCGGTGGAGGTCGAAGTGGTCGCTGCAGGCGTCGTTGGCAACGATGCGGTCGTACTAGCTGTTGTCCTGGGTACTTCAGGATTCTCTTCTGGTCTCGTCGGTGAAATAGTCTCGCTGGTGACCTCCGATAAAGGTACTGTGCTAGACAAATCCTCCGAAGTTTTCAAAGTAGTACTTCTGAACCTTTGTACGTTGGTGTACCTGAAAAATTAAGTAAGAACGTGAAATGTATAGTAATATAGTAAAATGTTTTATAAAAACAAATTATGTATAGGAACCTAGATTTGGTTGTTGATGAATCATTATCTTTCTCTGCTGATCGATCCGTGCTTTTCGAATCGTTCCTCTTCTCTGATTTCCTGAAATTGTTATAATGAAGAGATAAAAATTAAATCTCGTAAAAGTATAATAAGATAATATACTATGATATAATATATACTTAGATATTATATAATTATATTATGTTATATATTATATTATATTGAATGTTTTGCAAACTTATTTTCTTATACCTGAAACCCGAACTACGATTTCGAAAAAGTTTAGGCGTTTCAGAACTTGCTTCATTATCTTGTTGTCTAAAAAAACATTACGTCATATTAAAAAATTGTTAATATGTTTTTAATAGAACGGAACGCGAATAAAATAAAAAAATATATTTACTTCGAAGAAACGTACGGTCGTCGTCTGCGAGTCGGTCTTTCCTCCTCGATTTCTATCTCTTTCCCTTCCACGTCGTTCTCGGTTCTGAAAATTTCATGTCGTGAGAGATATGAGATAAAAATTAATTGTTCTCTCAATTATCTTACCTAGACGTCGTGGTGGAAAGTCGAGTTCGTCGAATATTTACGTAACTTGGCGTCACTCGCTGCGCAGACGAGCTACCTTCCAACGGATTGCTGACGGTTTTCTCCTCGGAAGAAGCTACGTCAGTGTTGTCACTTTCTTCCTCTTCATCAATATCTTCGTTCTCCGAGGAAGATCCTTTCGTGACCGATCTAATATATAAATCATGATGGAAATTAATCGATCTTAATAAATACAATTGACAAAGAAAGTGATAATGTTAAATACAGTTAATAGAAAAAGTATATTTTTTTGCTAATAAACAAAGAGGTGACTAACTTGGACCTCTCGATGGTGACGTATTGAGGTTTCTCCGATCGCCTGAGACTCTTCACTTCGGGAATATCGTCCAAGCCTTCGAACTGTGCTCTTCCCGGCCCGTTCACGTAACTAGTTTCCGAGGACGATAATATGGGCCGATTACCGATTCTGCTCGCTTGGCGACTTAATACACGCTCGTACAAACTACGACTAATCGTAGCTGGCGTAACGCTTTCGCTACTCGACCTGATCGAGTCCGAATTCTTCTCTTGAAGTAGCAATTGCTTTTCCAACTCTTCTATTCCGCCTAAAATCAAAGAATTCGAAAAATTATTTATTATAAAATATATTATAAGAGATTTCTTAGAGACAAAAGAGATAAAAAATATTATATAGAAGTACGTTACATAAGAGATAATATAAAAGAAAAAATATTAAAACTATAAAAGTTATTATGATAATTACAGAGGATGTGTTAACGTTATAAAATTATCAGAAACATACTTTGTAGTTACATATAATGCTTAGCAAACTTATACTTGCCGGCCTTTTTTATGAGATCGATGAGTTCCTTGATCACCTTCGGATCCTCCTCGTCTTCGCTATCGATGATTCTCTCCGGTTCGCTTGGTTTCGATGTGGTTGTCGTAGTAGTGGTCGTACTTGGTCTATTTCTGGTGAGTGTTTTATACACGAGTGGTTTCGCCGTCGTGGTAGTCTTCGGTTCTTCCTTTATTTTCTCCTTCTCCTCCTCCTCCTCCTCCTCTTCCTCTTCCTCTTCCTCGCTTTCCTCGATCTCGTCATAATCTTCCTCCGAATCGTATTCTTCCGATTCCGCCTTTGCGGTAGTTGTGCTGTGCAAATAAGTTGTTCGGCTTGTCGCGGCCGTAATGGGCGATCTGGTGGTCGAGACAATTGATGCTTTCAACGCTTTGGGACAAATCACGTTGCGTGGATAATCGCAAGAGTCCGCTCCTTTGTTGAATACCAATCCTACGAAAGCCCAAAAGATGCTGTTGACGAACGAGTCAAAGATTTCTATTCTAATCGGGGATCTAGCAATAAACGGAGATACTAAAACTACGGATGATTAAAAAATCTAATTTTTTTTATTTATTTTTTTTTATTTATTTTTATTTATTTAAATTTCTGATTTATGTGCCGAAATTTCGTATTAAGTATTCCCTTCTTTCCTCATAGAGTTGAATTAGCGTTAAAGGTAAAAACGTAATCAAAATTACTTATAGTAAAATAAAATTACCTGAAGGACAGGTGAACTGATGCGCAACCACGCCAAGTCCACTGGGACCACTGTCGAGACACCAGAAGTACTTCTTGCAATCTCGAGGATGCGGGAAAAAGCCTTCGTCCTCGCATTTAAAGTCTATAAAGAGCAAACCAGCGGTTCGTAATTTTATACAGTAAGAGAAATTTTTTTCCTTTGTTATAACTTTATTAAATTTTAAATATTCCAAAACATTTAAGAGCTCTCAATCAATCGATTGTTAAAAATACGTTAAAACGCGTTTTGTGTCCCGAGATTATTTTCTCACAGAAACTCACCGGTTCCTGGATCGGGAGTGGTTGGTGGCTCAGGAGTCGTTAGCTTGTTGCTCGGGGATTCCTCATTCTCGCCAGTCTTGCTCTGCTCCTTACGTCTGGATGGCTTTCTACGGGTGCTGCGATCGGTAGCACCGCTTCTCGTTTTACTCCTGTTTCGATTCTTCGGTCGTTCGATTTTCTCAGTGACTCTCACGGTGTTTCTACCCTCCGTGTCCTCTTCCGATGACGGATCGTACGATCTCCTCGATACCTCTCGATCTTCTTGTTCCTCCTTGCTCGCTTGCGAAATAAAACGGTGTTTTGGTCTTGAAGAGGACACGCGTTTGGTGGTGATCGGAGCTGATGTAGTTGTACTTCTTCGACTGCTCGTGCTCGACTTACGAGTGTTGCTTTGAGTGCGAGTCTTCTTCCGGCTGTCTATTGACTTCGTTTTGTCGATCGTATTCCTGCTACATAATAATAGTAATAACAATCAATATCTCTAATTTAATACTACTAAATTACTAATGGAGATAAAATATATCAAGATCCAGAAATAATATTCCGAATTACATTAGAGAAATCGGTGTTTTATGTTTTATCATTTATTAATTTAATGTCTTTAGATATTAAAGTTGCAACAAAACTAATGATAACGATAATATCGTGTTAACATACTAATAATGATAATTATAGCTTAGAATGCCATTTCTGACAATTTTTGATATTTTTTATAATATTACATGCTCAATCGCTCTTCAATTGTTACCTATTATCCGTAAGCAACGCTTCTTTGGCAGCCTCGATTAATGGATAAGGTCGACCGTGGCACTTGCCGCGGAAATCGTCGTTGTCTATCGACCAGAACATGATGCCTCCCAACTTCTTCTCGTTCACGTAGTGAGCTTTCAGTTTGACTATGTCCTCGTCATCGTACCCTACCCATTGATTGCCTTTGAAGGCATACGGTCCCATGGCTTTGGGATTTGGTTGAACGACTTCCCACTCGTCGGATTCCGCTATACTCTCGCAAATCTTAAAAATTGAATGTTCAAATTTTTAATTCTGTTTATATGTATATAAATAATTGGATGTACATAATTCCTAATATATGCGTTTTTATAAATTCTATGTATCATGTTAACGTCGCACTGTGTAATATACATAAAAAAATACTTTGCGCGTATGTATGTGTGTGTGTGTACGATAAAGTTTACCTCATAATAGGCAAGATAGCCCTTCTCTCGAGTGGCCTCTCCCTCGGTGCCTGGACCATCCGCGGGTGATCCAAGCTCGGTTGCATCTTGGTTGAACAACGTGTACGACCGACCGTACGTTGGTATTCCAAGAACGATCTTATCCGCGGACGCACCTTTCTCCAGGAGATGAGTGATTGTATAATCCTGTTAGACACACAAACGAGAGGACGCGTTACTATAATGACTGATCTGTTCAAGCGATAATTATAAGACCTTGACGAGTAAGCTCTCACGATAGTCAATTCCGCATCGTAATTGTACTCATTGTTCTCCTCCAGTGGATACAACGGCGAATGATGATTGACAGCGGGTTCGTACGCCGAGTGATAGTCGTAAGAGAGTAGATTAATGAAGTCCAAGTAATCGTTGAGCCTCGGTACATCGTAACCCTTGTCGATGTATTCGACGCCGGCGGGCATCGCCATCGACAGCAACAATCTCGATCTTCCGGTCTTCGAGGACTCTCGCTCGAACTCCTCGCGAAGTTCCTGTCAATTCGCAATTAATTATTTTAATTGGCAATGATTCCTGCTGATTGAGGCAAAATTACAAGCGTTTTTTTCTTATCGTTCTGCACGTATCCATGTTTCTTATATCTGTGAATCTTTATAACGTGTTCCTTTTTGGTTCGCTGAGAGACTTTTGCAAGAAATTTCATATCCTTTCCGCGCGGCGATAAGAAACGATTGAGACATATCTACCTGCACCAAGTCGGCGTAATTGTCCTTATCTCGCGGCTTTCCGCCGTCTCTAAATGCCGGATACTCCCAGTCGAGATCGAGGCCGTCGAAATGATTTTGCCTGAGGAACTTGACGGCGTTCTTGACGAACTCCCGCCGTCTCGCCGGATCGGCCACCATCGGTGAAAATCTGCTGGAGCCCTCGTTCCAGCCGCCGATCGCCAGCATCGTCTTCAAGTTCTTATTGTAGGTCTTCAAACCCGTAAACTTGGCGTATCCGCCTGTCGAGCGAGCGCGTTTATTGAAGAGTGAAAGTTAAATATCAGGCTAAGTCATCAAAGATGATGTGTTTGGAGTTTGTCAATCTAGTGCAATCTAGTGCAATCTGGTGCAATCTAGTTAGACAACTTGAGACACTAAACAGCCGAGCACTCTAAACTAAATGTAAGAGGCGTAAGATCTTATATTTAGATATAACAGATGTACAGTTAGAAGTAGTTTTCATTGCGATTGAAAATAACATTTTTAATACTTAAGAGGCATTTGACATTTACTCTTCAATTTCCTGAACAATTGAGTCATAAGTCATTATTTGTAATAAAATTTGGACATTAATAAAACGAATTTGAATTGACGATTAACAGTTAGTCGATAAAATTGTTAATTTTAATCGCTATCGATACGAATGTCCTCGATAAACAAGTAATTATTATCTTGCTAATAAGGCTGTAATGTTGGATTACAATTGCTAAGGCTGCAGTCTCCGATAAATTAATAATGAAGTTCAACAAAAATCTTGTAATAGATATCGCATATTTTTATGCTACCTTTCTCGATGTCTTGATATTTGTCGAACGGTCTTAGCGCGTTTTCCTTCGTGAAACCTCCGAACGCGTATATCAGGTGAGTGCACAGATATGGATTTATGTTTTGAGGAGAGAATTTCGCCGTGCCGGGCCGGTACACCGACCAATTCGTGTAATAACAGACAATTCTGCGTTCGGCGATTCCTAAAAGATAAAAATACGATAATAAGTACAAAAAAATATCTTTTCTAAGGGAATTTCTAGATGCATTTTGCTTATTTTTTAAATATAAAAAGTTGACTTTTTACATTTCTATGTCACTAAATAATTGTAACAATTTTTTAAAGCGTATACATAAAATAAGTATAAATAAACCAAGTCATTGCTGATCATTAATCATCAGTAATGTATTGCTATCAATCAGCAATGTACTACTAATAGTCAGATTTAAAATTAATTTTAAGTCAGCAATGTATTACTATCAATCAGCAATATACCACTAATAGTTAGATTTAAAAATTACTTAAGTAGATTCACAATAGTTGATTTAATAAATATAATATTGACTCAACAGACTTAAAGATAGTATTTACACAAATAACAAATTAGACTGTATTACATATGTAAAATAATTCCTTTATAGTTATTAAGATATTCTTTAATCTTTTGTTTGGCGTCTCCCTATATACAGAAAGAGGGAGAAACGAGGTCGCTTTGTTCATACATGCACGGGCGACTGCTCTTCAGCTTTCAATGGAGATCTATTGAATGAAGAGACAGCTACGGCAGATGTGCATCCTGGCGCATTCAGTTTCGCGCTCTGAGCCGCGAAAAATCTCGCTCTCCGATTGTCACCTCCACAATAGCAGCGCGGCCCGCATGTTCGCGCGTGCCGATCACGTTTTCACCGCGACCGCTAAATGCATGTGCGTCTGCGAGATCGTAAATTAAATGCACGCGTGTTCCGGACGTGCTTCTTTACGTTCGCATTGAAGCGCACACTCGCGAGCCACGAACGCGGGGAGAACGCGTAAAACGGCCGCGAGAGAAAACGCTGCCACGGGGAGAAATTGACACGCGATTGGACTTTCGTTTATGCACGCGAAGAAATAGCGTCGCGGCTTCGGCTTCAACTCGCGTAGCCGACGTGGCTCTTAAAACGCATGTCTGACACCCGGCTAAACTTTCCGACTGAGAAAAAGATACGGCGGTTATGTATGATTTACGGTAGAAAATGTAATCAATTTTGATAAAAATTTAGCACAAACGCAAAATTAGATGTACTCTTCTAGGATTTATCACGTCTTCTTTAAAAAGCATGAACTTCTATTATAAAGACAGTAATTTTCTTGAAATATGTATGCAGTTATGATAACAACATGATGGATTCTAATAAATAATGGAAGATCAATTTAAGATGTAAGTAAAATTATAGTCTAATGTGTTAAAATCGTGTTGGTTCTGACATTTCAATATTTTTGCATCAATTAATTCTCAAAACATCATTTTACACAGAAAGCAAAATATCTAATTCCATTACTTTAGTATTATTTTTTAGATTATTTTTTGTAAAAGCTAATCTCCAGAATTAAGATTTTTCTGGTGATAATAATCAATCTTCCGTAACGCAAAATAAGGAGTTCCTATAACCCTGCGATTATATGAATTGGATCAGATTATCTAGGATATCATTACAGTTAATCCAACTTCCTTCAACGAAACGTTACGATGATCCACACGTAACCCGATCGAAAATGGCAATTGCGAAAGTGAGAGATAGTATTACGAGACGGATATTGTTTCCCGCTAGCCGTCCGAGCGGTTAATTAGCCGAATGCGTGTATCTATGCACGGCGAGAGGTATGCATCTCGTTGCCCTGCTTCGCACGCGCATAATCGCCCACGAAGGCTGACTTTGACGGTGCGCGCCGGGAGTCCGCGTTCGTTCGGTTATACATGCAAGGAGATACTTTCGAGTCGTCCGCGAATTATCCGATCGTGCTTTCACCGATCGTGCGTGAAACGAGGCCGAACATCGTGTGGGAACAATGCTGCGAGCGGTGCCTGTAAATTAAGTCTTGCTACTTGACCCTGACCAGGAGGACTAGGCGACACTTTAGCGAGGTCGACGAGTATCCTCGGGCGATGAATATCGAGATCTAACCGCGACCGGTGCGATTTCATCGGAGTTTAATCGGAAGATCTATACGCCCGCGTGATCAAATTAAAGGATATATATGTTATATATAATTTGTGAAGTTAAAGGAAAGTTAAATTTTATCGTTTTAACTATGATATACATAATGATTGATTATAAATTAATTATGACTGACAAACCAGTGTGTTATAAACTAGAGATTATACTTTCAAAAAATAGGAAAAATGAAAATTGCAGTAAAAATACGTAATATGTACGACCTAGTTGCAGTTTATATTGTACATTTTTATTTTTAGTACAAATAAGTATCCACTTCTAATCTAAAGTAATTATTTTACATATAAAGAATCGAGTTCCTCTGTAGATTGCTCTTTCAAGGTTTTTTCCATTTTTTTTCATACTTTATAAATCTACATGAAATAGATAATGTTACGAAATTTAAAAACTTTAGGAGCAATATCGACAAATCACATTTTTTTCTTATCTTAATTATGAAATGGATCAAGTAGGAAACAGCAGAAATAGCATTAAATAATCATATCAATATTTCGGACACAACAACGAAGTCGCGCAAATATAATAAAATTCGTCAAGAATATATCACTTGCATTAATCGGAGCCTTTGAAATCCATGTTCGTGTTAGATACAACACGTCGTATCGAATCTTTAATATGTAAACCCCATTACCTCCACCCGCCCAGCAAAGATCACCGCGATACTGAAACGCTCGAGATTCTCTTTCACCGCAATAACGCCCACCAAGAGAGTATACTCGTAACAGTCCCACGCTGTACACATATATCGGCATTATACGAACGGCATAATGGTATTAAACCGCGATACATAATAGCGTAGATAATATCGAGCAAGAGACCCGCGATCTCCGCGCTTGCTCGTGATCGCGCGTTTTTCCGGATTTGCCCGTCAAATATGAGAAAAATCCACGTCGTGGCTCTGTACCTTAATCGCGATGTGGAAAGCGCCGAGTTATTGAAAGCGCATAAACATCGCAAGGTGGAAGTCTCCCCGTATTATCGCTCGTTCTCGGGCATTATTGTCCATTGTGAAAAATGTTACAGCTTCTTCGCGCGATTTATGGGAATGTTAACTATAATTCTTTACGAAGTTTAAATGATCGCGTGAGAGCGTTAACGGCGAGAAACTTTCGAACATAAAAATTATAATATTCAATGATATGTTTCCCGTATATCTTACCAATTGTTTTAAATCTATTTTAAATTGTCTTAAAGTTGTTTTGTGAAAGAAAGTAGTTGGCTACTGTTTTTTGATATTATTAATTTATCTTTATATAGCAATAAAAAAGATAAAATATAAGATATTTATTTTAAATGATTAAAAAATATTAAGCATTCATTAGAAGAGCTATTGTCTATACAATAGTTCCACAATAATTTTGGTTTTGTTCCGATAACAGATTCCTCGATCAAATTAAGAGAAAAACCGACATTTTCTTAACAAGAATATATAGGAATGTTCAAAATTTTTTGCAATTTTTCATTAAATATCTAAAGTACGTAAGAGTAAATTTGAATTCGGGATCTGGGATTAAGATTTTATATAAACGAAATTTATTTCAATAATCGAATAATCTCTTAAAGAGTGCACACACATAACGTATTATACAAAAAGTAATTTCTATGCTAATTTTTCTGACTTTTATCGGAACATAGTTAACGCCAATGAATTTGCAGATGTTACAAAAAAAATCGAACGTTCAATTAGATGTAACTCCTTGTTTCAAGAACATCCGCAAAAGAGTCGAGCCTGTAATAACAAGTCTTCGCGGTGAAACTTTCGATCTTTTCCTGGGACTTTTGCGGGAAAGCGAACGGCCGTCCAGACAGCTGGAAAAACTAGTACTTTACGAGCTATCCGAGAGACCCTTTCGTTTTCTTCGCGTGTCCCATTCCAATTCGCTCGCTCACGGTTGCGGTGCCGATTGCTCTCGTGCAGCGTGGAAACGATTATATTGTTTCGCTTCCAGAATACACCAAGCAGATAAATGCCGGGGATTCGGATAAATGCAGCCTCGCAGTTTGTTTCGCAAGATGAAGGTTTACATTGACGGTGCACAAGCGCTCTTCGAAGTTTATTGCAAGCTATAATTTATTTTTAACATCCATAAGTGTCACTTTTCCGGTACCACGTAAAGCCCGGCTGCCGTTATTTTACGTAATACTTTTATATTTGGCGTAAAATTTCATTTGCTGTCGCTACTGGCTACTGCGGCTGCATTCGAAGAGCGCGCTATTAGCGCTATTGCATCATTCTGTCTTTATCGCTCATCAGGTGTAAAACAAGGATAGAACAAGCAAATAGCGCTAATAGCGCGCTCCCCGAATCCAGCCTGCGTAATTATACGAGGTGCTTCTCGAAGATCGGAAGGAGTCAGGTAAGCAATATTTTAAAAGAAATTCAATCTGGACAATTATTGACTTTTAAAAATGTTTTAGCCAGAAAAAATCGCGAATTATTAAATGTTTGCTAAAAGAAAGTCGACTTGAAATCGAAATCATATAGAATCGAATAGTTGAAAGATGTACTCAATTTTCTGTATGTAATTTGAAAAATCCAGATATTAAATTTTAACTGTTTTTTTTTTTAATGGAGAATTACTCTTATAGGAAAATTGCGAAAGACTTACCATCTTGTATCATCGCGAACAGAATTCCCAAGCAGAGAATCAGCGACGCCGCTCGCACCTCCTGCAACGGGAAAAATGGTGCGTCTCATTAATAATTCATCGTCGCCGGAGACGTATAATACAATATGTCAAAGTGAGAGTCTCGCGTAAATAATTAATTCATAGCGAGTTCGTCGCAACTTTGGTAGCGTTCGATCTCATCGCGTATTTGGCAAACGAATCGGTAGAGAGTCAACGGTATAATAGCTGGTGACTTCATTAATAAGTGCCGAGATGCAGTTAACGTTAGAAAGTTTGCATTATCGATAATGTACTAACATAAAAATGAAATAAAGACAGTTAATAAACATAAAAATATCCCTAACATTTTATACAACAAATAAAAATTTAAGATAAAAAAATTCTTGACAAAATGACGAAGCTTTCACTCGCGTTGCAATAAATTTTAAACTAATCGTAAGAGTTATTTATACATATTTAATATTATTATACACACATAATATATTTAAAGTAATGTACATATGTTAATTACAATCTTTTTGTATCTCTTAAACTATTTTACAAGTTTAAGTAATGTGCGCGTATCCTGGGAATCAAATAAGCGATGCACGTATCCCTGGGAATCGAGAAATCTAATTCATTCACGGTGCATTCGCGGTGCATTCACGGTGCATTCACAGCCCCCGTGAGATGCGTGAATTAAAGCCCAGCAGCCGTATAAAATATATCTATCTATCTCGGTGTTACGCGTTGCACCGAATGCCGGTTCCGCTTGTAACCGCTTATGTAACGCAGAAATGTAAAGTGCACGACGCGACGATGCACTTGTTCCCATAGCTCGGCTCGGTTAATGCGAATCGCGCGGGCGGCTCTCCCGATATGCCGGGATTAATAAAGATCGATGATATACATCGGGACGGAATGAATGGCGTCCAACGACACACATGGACAAACGCGGACGACCGCTCCTCGTTACATAATGGGCGTGCAAAGAGAAAGCAAGAAGAAAGAACGCGGCGCGACTTTCTCGCGGCGTTTCGGGCGGCGAGTTTCGCGTTACATTAACGTGTAGCGCCGCCCGTTCTGTCGTGATAACAATTAACGCGCCTCCGTGGACCCCGGAAATTCCCAATTCGTTTAATGAGACGGACAGAAATTCCGAGGCCGCGGCGGCGCACCTCTCGCGGAAAGGCAGCCGCGAGCGCGCGATGACTTATTCTTAATTGGTCCTTTCCTCTGATTGCGGCGAAACTTACAACATCTCGAGACGTTAAACGGAGTCGGAGTAACTATCGGATATCCTTTCGACATTCGCAGACATTAAACAAGAAATTAACGGCCATTGCGAACGCTTTAACGAGGCATCGAGTAGTTTCGAAGTCACAATCCACAGAAGTTCGAGACGCGCAAAACCTCGAGGAAATAAATAGACAATGAAAATCTCTTAAATTAATTTTAACTGCGTTTCTCGTCTTAATAGATACTTAATACCAAGATTAATTTACGAAGATATTCCACCATAGATATCCGTCGTTTCTGATAATTTGAACGTATAACTTTGCGATTTCTGATGTATGTAGAAGTTAAATATATTCGTAGTTTTTAAAAAGGAGAAATGTAATTCGCGCGGTGTATGCAAATTAAACAAAGTTTAAAATTTAAATGTAAATGTTATCAGTGCTCGATGTAATACATAATGAGCCACTGGTGGCTGGTCTTCAATTAAGATAATTACAGTACGGCGCGAATATTCTGTCCCCGTCCGTTCATAAGGTGCAGTCACTGCAGTCCAGTGTGTTACATCGCACGTTACATTTCTGCAACCGCGGGGGACCTGATAATCATCTCGTCCGTCTCGTTGCGAACCGTCCTCGCGCGAGCACGTGTGCTACCTCCCCGGAGTAATAGCTCGCGCACGCGGCGGCGCGCGGCTGTGGCATGCACGCGCGGGGTGGGTCAAAAAACTCCCGGGGCCCCTCTAAATGTCAAATAACTTTCTACGATGCCGGGATCCTTGGAAAGCGGGTACGGGCGATTCAAGGGAGAGCCTCGAGCGATTATACGTTCGCGTTCTTCGCGCCGCTGCGTATCAGTACGCACACGCGCGCGTACGTCGATCGTCCGGCGACCGGCAAACACGGCCGAGGCTGGTCATTGCTGGACTTTCTGGGAGTTTCGTAACCGGAACGGAAGTTCTCGTCGTGCTTTCGACGCACGATTCGCTACCGGCGCGGCGTCCCACCGCCGGACGCCATTACCATCGTTTGACTCTTAAACGATTTCTCATGTTAAATTTCGCAAAAATTATCTTACGCTTCGGTGAAAGGATCCGAACTCGGGAATCCGATCATTTTTTGTTTCTCGTAATCACAAGCCCGGAGATATACAAGCGGGAATCAATGAGAGAAATTAAATCGTACGAAATTCTGTTGAAAATTTTATTTGTATCACTATTTCAATTTTATTTATCATATTCGCGACATAAATGTACGTCAACTGTACTATAATACGAATAATATACGTTAAATCTTGTTTTATTTATTATACTATGCATTATTATTCCAAACTGGGATAATAATTTCAGTTCAGTAAAGAAACTGCAAGCAACTTTTCGCTTTAGCGTGAAGCAATTAATTAACTTTGACCCAGTGCATAAGTACATAAGTACTGGGTCAAAGTTAATTTACTTACGTACGATTTAATGCAGCTCGCTGCTCGGCAAGCGTTCATTTAGCTTGTTTGTGTGCGAGCTCACCGAGAATCTCTTGGTGCACATAATCGAGAAGAAAGGTTCTTGCAACGAGTAAGACGTGCAGGTATGCAACTCCGGTCGTGGATATGCTATACGCGTATGCAGCTGAAT